AAAAAAATAATAAAATACAAAAAAAATCAAAAAAATATTATCAAAAAATATAAACAGTGAAAAATGATGTCAGCACGCCTTAAAAATAATTAAAAATTGGTTGAGGAAGTTAAAAAATACAAAGATTAAAATTTGACAATATTTTATTGACTGATGATAGCTCTGTTGACAAAGAAAATTCAATTTGAATAAGAAAAGTCTAAAATCAAATGTTTATGGACTCAATTAAATTTTCTTGAGGTTTAATTAAATTTATGGAGAGTTTGATTGTAAGAAAAATTGATTTTGGAGTCAATTTAGGCTTTAATTGGAAGAAATTAAAGTTCTGGGGTCAAATTATAATTTTTAAAAGTTAATTTGGTCACATCAGGGGCTTAATTGCATAAATATTAAAGTTTGATGGCCAATTAGGAACTTAATTGAAGAAATTTGAAACCAAGGATCAAAATGAAAAAAGTGTGTAAGTAGAAGGGCTTGAATTAAAAACGGTTAGGAGCCCAATTGAAGAAATTAGAAGTTTATTACTCAATTAAAGGTCAAATTACACAATATCAAGATCAAGGATCAAAATGACAAGGATCAAAACAGTGTTGTTTTGAACAACACCTATATCTTCTTCTTACCCTGGATGCGCGAAGCAGGGGAAGAAGAAGATTTTTCTTCCTTTCTCTGTCATAGCTATCAATGTCAAAAAGATGTCGACTCCTTTCAAAAAAACACTGACTTGCCACCCTTTCCACGTGTTGAAAAAGCAGTGGAGGAGTGGCAGTATAGTGGCCACCTTAGCCATGTTTCTCTCCCTTGTTTTTGCCTATAAAAACAGGGGAAGGGGACTGAAAAACCGAGAGGACAACAAAGGGAGAGAGAAAAAAAGGAGGAGAGGGAGACCAAAATTGAAAACAAAGAGAGAGATAGAGTGAAAAAAAAATAGAACAAAAGAGAGAAGACAAGAGAAGAGAGGGAGTTGAACCGAAGAGGAAGAAAGAAAAAAAAAACAGAGCAGGGAGAGGAAGAAGGAGAAGCATCACTGGCCACCGCGCCTCCACCACTCAGGTAAGCCCTCCGCCCTTCATTTTTCCTTCACTTCTTCCTCCGCCATGCAAGACATGCACAGTACACATCTACAGGCGGGGAAAAGCTGGTTATTGTGCTTATACATAGTAACCAGCTACTGTGGGTTGGGCTGATCCAAATCCATGCAATTGAGCCAGATTCAGCCTGACCCATGTATTTGGGCCTGGCCCGACCCTTTTTAAAAAATAATAATTAAAATGATTGTTTTAGAATGTTTACAATTTTAATGCATATTTTTTATGTAATTTTGATTAATGTTAGGTATTATTTTTATGTCATAAAAATATAAATTCAGTATTAAAATACCTGGTTTTTGTCAAAACTTTCTAAAACACAAAAAAATTGGGGAAAAAATTATTTTTGTGCATACGGCCAAGTGTCTTAAAGCTAAAAACAAATCATATTATATTTCTCATACACTGAAAATAATATTTTAGCATGCATTTTTTGCTTTAATAACCAATTTATTAAAGTTAAGAGATCATTGGCCAAAATTTTAAAAACAATAAAAAATTTATTTTATTTTGTTTTAGTATCATGGATTATGAATTTATACGTAAAATGTATTCCTGATATTTAAAATGTAGTTGTTTTTATTAATGATACAAAACAATTAGGTTTTTACCTGATAAGATGAAGATCTCCTTATAAAGGGAGACTTTTCTTACCATTAGATAGACCAACAATAAAAAATCATAACATGACTTTAGGTATGAACAAACAAAACAATGCAATTTACCTTAGGTAGGGCATATTTAGGGTGCTAATACCTTCCCTTTACACGACCAGTCTCCGTACTCAATCTCTAAGACCAGTTAGGGTTCCTAATGACCAGAATACTAGGTGGCGACTCTCATTCAATTTTTTCATTGATAAGAAACACAAGAATTCATTATCTCTCCATATTTGCCAGAGATATCACATTCTTATCTTTTCCTGGATGGTGGGCAATCGTCGCGATGCTACATAAGTGCGACAATTCTCATTAATTATCATAATCTTTTATTATTTTATTATTTCTAAGTTTGTGAAAAGTTTGATATTGGTCTTCAAACTTGTCAAGATATTAATTCCTAAAATAAATTTTTCATTGATAAGAGACCAGAACACTAGGTGTTCCTAGTGACCAAAGATAAGAGACACAAGAATTCATTATCTCTCCATATTTGCCAGAGATATCACATTCTTATCTTTTCCTGGATGGTGGGCAATCGTCGTGACGTTGCATAAGTGCGACCATTCTCATTAATTATCATAAATTTTTATTATTTTATTATTTTATTATTTCTAAGTTTGTGAATATTGGTCTTCAGACTTGTCAATATGTTAATTCCTAAAATAATTTTTTTCATTGATAAGAGACTAGAACATTAGGTGTTTCTAGTGACCAGAACATTAGGTGGCGACTCCCATTCAATTTTTTTTATTGATAAGAGACACAAGAATTCCTTATCTCTCCATATTTTCCAGAGATATCACATTCTTATCTTTTCCTGGATGGTGGGCAATCGTCGCGACGCTGTATAAGTGTTACAATTCTCATTAATTATCATAATTTTTTATTATTTTATTATTTCTAAATTTGTGAAAAATTTGATATTGGTCTTCAGACTTGTCAAGATGTTAATTCCTAAAATAATTTTTTCATTAATAAGAGACCAGAACACTAGGTGACGACTCCCATTCAATTTTTTCCTTGATAAGAGACACAAGAATTCCTTATCTCTCCAATTTGCCAGAGATATCACATTCTTATCTTTTACTGGATGGTGGGCAATTGCCGCGACGCTGCATAAGTGCGACAATTCTCATTAATTATCATAATTTTTTATTATTTTATTATTTCTAAATTTGTGAAAAGTTTAATATTGGTCTTCAGACTTGTCAAGATGTTAATTCCTAAAATAAATTTTCCATTGATAAGAGACTAGAACACTAGGTGTTCCTAGTGACCAGAATATTAGGTGGCGATTCTCATTCAATTTTTTTATTGATAACAGACACAAGAATTTCTTATCTCTCCATATTTGCTAGAGATATCGCATTCTTATCTTTTCCTAAATGGTGGGCAATCGTTGCAACGCTGCATAAATGCGACCATTCTCATTAATTATCATAAATTTTTATTATTTTATTATTTCTAAGTTTGTGAATATTGGTCTTCAGACTTGTCAATATGTTAATTCCTAAAATAATTTTTTTCATTGATAAGAGACTAGAACATTAGGTGTTTCTAGTGACCAGAACATTAGGTGGCGACTCCCATTCAATTTTTTTTATTGATAAGAGACACAAGAATTCATTATCTCTCCAATTTGCCAGAGATATCACATTCTTATCTTTTCCTGGGTGGTGGGCAATCGTCGTGACGTTGCATAAGTGCGACCATTCTCATTAATTATCATAAATTTTTATTATTTTATTATTTCTAAGTTTGTGAAAAGTTTGATATTGGTCTTCAAACTTGTCAAGATATTAATTCCTAAAATAAATTTTTCATTAATAAGAGACCAGAACACTAGGTGTTCTTAATGACCAGAACACTAGGTGACGACTCCCATTCAATTTTTTCCTTGATAAGAGACACAAGAATTCATTATCTCTCCAATTTGCCAGAGATATCACATTCTTTTCTTTTACTGGATGGTGGGCAATTGCCGCGACGCTGCATAAGTGCGACAATTCTCATTAATTATCATAATTTTTTATTATTTTATTATTTCTAAATTTGTGAAAAATTTGATATTGGTCTTCAGACTTGTCAAGATGTTAATTCCTAAAATAATTTTTTCATTAATAAGAGACCAGAACACTAGGTGACGACTCCCATTCAATTTTTTCCTTGATAAGAGACACAAGAATTCATTATCTCTCCAATTTGCCAGAGATATCACATTCTTTTCTTTTACTGGATGGTGGGCAATTGCCGCGACGCTGCATAAGTGCGACAATTCTCATTAATTATCATAATTTTTTATTATTTTATTATTTCTAAATTTGTGAAAAATTTGATATTGGTCTTCAGACTTGTCAAGATGTTAATTCCTAAAATAATTTTCCATCAAAATTGCTAAAAAGTAAGACATTTGATTTTAAACTTTTGAACATAGATCCCTTTAAAAGGAGACGTCTTTTTTATTGATAACAGACACAAGAATTTCTTATCTCTCCATATTTGCTAGAGATATCGCATTCTTATCTTTTCCTAAATGGTGGGCAATCGTTGCAACGCTGCATAAATGCGACCATTCTCATTAATTATCATAAATTTTTATTATTTTATTATTTTATTATTTTATTATTTCTAAGTTTGTGAAAAGTTTGATATTGGTCTTCAGACTTGTCAATATGTTAATTAATTCCTAAAATAATTTTTTTCATTGATAAGAGACTAGAACATTAGGTGTTTCTAGTGACCAGAACATTAGGTGGCGACTCCCATTCAATTTTTTTTATTGATAAGAGACACAAGAATTCCTTATCTCTCCATATTTGCTAGAGATATACAATATTTTTATTTTTCATGGATAGTGAATGATCATCGCAACGCCGCACACGTGCGACAGAATATTAACTCCACTAGGAACCTTGTGGACTAAGCTTCATTTTGTTTGTTTATTATGTTTTATTGTTTGGTTTGTATGGATACATTTATTCATACATTATATTTGTTCATGCAATCAAAATTGCTAAAAAGTAAGACATTTGATTTTAAACTTTTGAACATAAATCCCTTTAAAAGGAGACGTCTCAACTAAGCCAGCTGTGAAGATGGATATTGAACCCATATAAATGATAAAATTTTAATTGGATTTTGGCTCATTCACTCTCGTGAATTGCCAAACAATCTTGAAAGTTGTCATTATTATAATTATTTTTTTCCATTTTTTATTCTTTTTTAATGAGAATGTCACCATCAACAATAATAATAAAAAATTGGACTTTCATAAAAATGTAAAAATAACATGCACAAAATTTAAACAAATAAATAACAATAAAGTATTTATCCGAGTTCGAAATCAAATGAAAAAACACAAAAAAAACATATTAAAAAATACTACTGGACACCACATGGCGCACTTACTAGCTATTTAACCAATCTTAGGATTGCAAGGAGCGGATTAATTTGACCACATCAAGACACCAGCTCGTTTTCTTCTCCGGCTCTCAATATTTATTTATTTATTTTGTCTCTCAGTGTTTCTTCTCTGTTCTGCTCGGTTATCATCGAGCTAGTTTGCATCTCATTTCTAGTTATTTTTTAAATTTTATTTTTTAAAATAATAATAAATTTTTAAAAATAAAATAAAAACGGGTGGTTTTTAAAGAAAATTTTACAACAAAATATATAAAACTAAGCTATAATTTTAAAGAAAATTTAGGACTTAATTGTACCTTATTATGCTAAAAAATAAAAAAATAAAAATTCAAAATCAAATTAAATAATTATTGAATAAATTTGACTAAAAATTAAATTTAAGAACATTATTAAATTTTTAATTGGTCAATTTGATTTAATCATAGGTCAAAATAAATTTTAATTATATTTAAGAGTGAATTTGGATTCAAATAAAGAATTTAATTAGGTACAAGGACTTAAGTATATTTTAAATAAGTTAAATAAATTTTATTAAAGGTTTAATTTATAAAAAATTAAGTTTAAAATTCTAATTTAAACTTAATTAAAAAATTTAATTAAATTTTTATTAGATGAATTAATTAAAACTAATAATAAAATCATAAAAAAATATGAGTTAGTGCCTGGGAGTTGAGCCTTTGTTGGTAAAAGTGGCAGGCAAGTAGGCTAAAAAAAATAGATAGCTGCGAGAAAGATAAAGGAAATAAACGAGTAAATAAATAAAAAGAGAGGAGATCGAAGAAAGGAGAGACAGGGAGGAGGAGGAGGAGAGGAACATGAAAGAGGGCGGAGAAAGAAAGAAAGAAGAATGGGAGCGACCCAACTGGGCTGTTAAGGTGACAGCCTAGACTGGGCTGCCAGGAGCCTTTTTCTACCTAGCTAGGCCCATTCTTGGCTGTTGCAGATAACCCCAGTCTGGGCCGAAAAGGCTCTACCAAGGGCTGCTGCATGCTAGCCCGACTTATATACATTATTATCAATTAACATCATAGTGGATCTCCAAGACCTAAATTTTAAATCGTTCAGGTTAATTTTTTAAAAAAAAATTAAATAATATTATTTTAATAAAAAAATAATAAATTATAATTAAATTTTTTATCATATTTTACTAGATTATCAGACCGAAACTAACAATCCAGCTTTATGTAAATAGGTCCAAAATCAATCCATAAGATATAGCTAGATTTTAAAACTATAATTAACACAAACACAATAATATAATGAAAAACTTATTCATTTGCATACAATCAAATTTTAATCACCCCGTGCATCGCAACACATCTCAAAATAATATAAGTAGAAGAAGTCACAAAGTTAGAGAAAAAAAAATAAAAAAATAATCACCCCAGTCGACTGGGCTCTCTTTGCAAGGGTCTTTGATATTTTTATATTTTAATATAAATTCATTTAAATTAAATGATTTAAAATATATTCAGAAAATCATTTTTCTTTAATTTTGTTTGTTGTCTTTTCTCTGCATATCTTTGAAAAGAGATACAAAAAGTTACGTGTGACAATGCGCAATTTGTGTGCTATTCTTATATTCTCACAATGAAACATTGGCATTTTTTTAACTTGAAGATGTATTTTTATTTTAAATTATCTATATTTTTTATATTTATTCTAATTGCTTTTAGTTTTATCAAATTATAAAAAAAAAGGAATTTTACAATTAAAATCATTTTTTAATTGAGTTTAAATTATTAACTTCTAAAAAAAACCTCTTATATTATTGTATAATTAAAAAATAAAAAAAACACTCGTTGTCACGAGATCTAATATTTTAATATGTAAATTCCTTTTACCTTCCAGACTTAATTTTTAATTATAATTAAAGCTTTTAAAATATTTGTTCGCATATATAAACCTTGTTTTATTTTATTAAATACAAGGAGTGGCTTTTCAAATCAAAATTAAGATTTTTCTTTATCCTAGAAAACTTGCTCTTAACACCTGCACATTCTTTAAATGAGTGAAGTGTGTGTTCCTATAAGGCTTGCCTTTAGCCTATACACCGACATGGGATTTCCTCTCGTTAAACTAACAAAATACTAAAAAATATGATTAAATCATTATATTCATATCTATAAAATAGTATTTATTATAATAGCATTTTGTATTTCGTAGGGGTTTTTTTGCAATTTCTCAACAACTTCTTTTTTTTTAATTTTATTCTTTAATATTAATTGTATTTTAAAAATTATGCTTTATAATGTTTTTTATTTATTTTTTATTGGATTATATTACAATCTCATAAATTTAGATTTTTTCTTTTCTATTTCAACGTCAACATTAGATACATTGGAAGTGAGTTTTATCATTATAAGAACTAGGGTTGTCGAGGAATGCGGCAGCACAGATTAGTTTGATAAGTTGACTCGAGTTGACTCAATTTATTTTTTTTAGATCCTTTGGCAATTGAATTGTTTTTTTATTTTACCCTCCAACAACTCAAATTTATTTTTTATAATTATTTTTTTCATCACTTTCACCATTTAATATTAGGTTGTTTGGGAATTGAGCTTCTTAATTTTTTTTAATTTACTTTATATAAGATTATTCTAATTTTATGTTTTTTTTTCAATTTTAACTTTCAATGGCGGATGTGTTGGAAATAGAGCTTTATATTATTTATTTATTTTTTATGAAGTTATCATATTCTCATAATACAAGTCACAAGCTTAACAAGTTAATTTGACTTTTATTGTTTTTTTAATTTCATTATTCGACATTAAATTAATTAGAAATTAAGTTTTGTAAAATTTTTTTATTAAACTTTTCTTGATTTCATGACTAGGGTTGACTTAGGTAGTTTTTATTATCTATTTTTTAATTTGATATATTTTTTTAATTTTATTATTGAATATTAGGTTAATTAAAAATTTATTTTTAAAATTTATTTCAATTTGCTTTCTATAAGATTATTAGAGTTTCATGATCTAGGTCACATATTTAATGGGTTAATCCAAATTAATCTAATATATCGTTGGTTCAATATTAAAAAAATATTATCTAATATATTACTATATCAATATTTTTTTTAAAATATTATATAATATGTATTATATTTTAAATTTATGAATTTTTTTATTAGGAAACACTTTAGTAAAACTTGAATATTTATTTATATTAAAAAATGATTTGACTTGTAGCTCGATACGAGTTAATAACTTAGTTTTATTAAACAAGATGAATATTGACTTAATAAAATTTGGTTAATATAACAAGTCAATTAATTATAATTAACTTAATTAGAATTGAATGAGATTTATTTTGATTTTTTTTTAAATAATAACATTTTAATTTGAAATAATATTACAACAAAGCCATTTTTAAATTTATCCACCCAACCTTTATTAGTGCTTGAACTTAGCTAATTTAATAACTTTGTACTATATACTCTTGTTACCTTCCACACAGAGAAAATTTGTAAACATAAATAAATAAATAATAAATTGGAAAAAAAAATAAAAAATACTAGGGGACTGCTTCGTGAAAACGTGAATAATCACTACAGGCCGGTACGAGTTAATAACCTAGTTTTATTAAACAAGATAGTATTGACTTAATAAAATTTGGTTAACATAACAAGTTAATTAATTATAATTGAATGAAATTTATTTTGATTTATTTTTTATTTTTTAAAATAATAACATTTTAATTTGAAATAATATTACAACAAAGCCATTTTTAAATTTATCCACCCAACCTTTATTAGTGCTTGAACTTAGCTAATTTAATAACTTTGTACTATATACTCTTGTTACCTTCCACACAGAGAAAATTTGTAAACATAAATAAATAAATAATAAATTGGAAAAAAAAATAAAAAATACTAGGGGACTGCTTCGTGAAAACGTGAATAATCACCGACCAGCCTAACGTGGTGTCTAGGAGTGCAAGTGTATCCTCCGTTATATATATAAAGACAGATACATCTTCTTCTGGTAGAAATTATTGAATCGCAAATCTGTCCAAACCTTTTGGATCTTCTCTTCTCGTGTGATTTTTCCACCAAAATCATCCGAAATGAACGACGCAGATGTCTCCAAGCAGATCCAGCAGATGGTCCAATTCATCCGCCAAGAAGCAGAGGAAAAGGCCAACGAGATCTTAGTTTCTGCTGAAGAAGTAATTCTTCCCTCTTTGCTTGTTTTTTGCTGAATTGCTTGATGGGTTTTTCCGTTTTGATCTTATTGAGAAAATGTTTTCTTCAAGGAATTCAATATTGAGAAGTTACAACTGGTTGAGGCTGAGAAGAAGAAGATCAGGCAAGAGTATGAGCGTAAAGAGAAGCAAGTTCAAGTTCGTAAGAAGATGTAATTCTCTCCGATTTTTTATTAGTTAAATTTTTGGTAATTATGCTGTTTATTTATTGGTGGGGCTGTGTTGTGCTGTTAAATTTGATTGCTTTTAGTTGTTATCTTGTTAACAGTTAAGTGAAGTGATGCTAATCATGGAATTTGTTAGTGTTAAAATTGAATTTTATCATTTTTGTTTTGTTATGTTTCTAGCACTTTATTTATTTATGAAGGGAAATTATAAAAATATGGCCCGGTTTGAAACTGTGTAGGATAGGATAGTTTACTAGTTTGATTTTATTGAAAGGAGATCAGGATTCGATTTTGAAATAATTTTACGCTGATTTGTGTAGGTAGACAATGGGATTATTTTACTCAGTTCTGATCAGGAGTGGTGGTGATGAAGTGACGTTTGTTTTATTGGTTTTGATGGGCAGTGAGTATTCGATGCAGCTTAATGCTTCTCGGATCAAAGTGCTTCAAGCTCAAGATGATGTAGTTAATTCCATGAAAGATGTAGCGGGAAAGGATCTTCTGAATGTCAGCCAACATCACCATCGGTACAAGCATCTTCTCAAAGATCTCATTGTTCAGGTCATTATTGAATAACCAGCATGCCCATTTGGTTTTCAGTTGCTTTTAAATTGAAGAAAATTGTGGAATTGCTTTGCCACGTGTAGTTCATGAAGTTTTGGTTGATGGGGCTTTTTCGCTTGTGTTCCTCTGTATCTGTATAAACTCTTGATACATGCACATGATGCCTACATTTCAGTTGTTAGATACACGCACTTGATGTTCCGTACTGAGCATTTTTGTTTTTTTTGATAAAATGAAGTGAATTTTAATCTACTAACACTCCGCTACTGAGCATTTTTGTTTTGAAGTGAATTTTAATCTACTAACACTCCGATGATGGCTTGAGCTTTGAGGGAATCATCTGATGAGACTTTTTAACTTGCAGATACATTTTAGAGGATGATTAGTTGTTTGTAAATTAGATGAAGAAATGAAAAATTATATTACCAGGGAATGCTCAGAAAAGACCATTATGATTTCATATTTAACAGGAATGCAGTGTTATATACATGAATAAAGTATTGTGCTCATAATCTGGATTTTCTTTCTTCATTTTTTTTTCCCAGAGTTTACTCAGATTGAAGGAGCCTGCTGTCTTGCTACGTTGCCGGAAAGATGACCATCATTTGGTGGAGTCTGTCCTGCATTCAGCAAAGGAAGAATATGCTGAGAAAGCAAATGTTTACCCCCCAGAAATCATTGTAGACCACGATGTCTATCTTCCACCTGCTCCTAGCCACCATAATTCTCATGGTCCTTTCTGGTAAATTGTTCATGAAAATCCAAGAAACTAACCTGAGTGCATATACTTATTCATTCATCAATAGCTGTTTGTGTGGGGCTTCTATGGGTCTTATCAAGTTTGTGTTGTAGTTTGTTCTTAATTGTGGTCGCCATAGTAAATTTATACCTGCTCTTGATTTCCAAAATTTCCTAGTTGCATAATTCACGTTGCTAATTGTATCATATAACTTAGGGTTTCCAAATTGCATAATATGTAACCAATGAGTGTAAGGTTTCATATGACTATCTTAAAAAGTCACTCTTTGGTATCTAAGATACTGGAGATAGAAAAACAAAGTTGACTTTGGTATATTTTGTTGTGAAGCTCTGGAGGTGTGGTGTTGGCATCTCGAGATGGGAAGATTGTGTTCGAAAATTCTCTTGATGCACGGTTGGATGTTGTATTTCGTAAAAAACTTCCCGAGGTATGTTCAATAAATTATTGTTATTGATATTACTATTTTTTTCCTTGACCTCTCCATACACTCTAATTCCTTAATAGGATACTCATATCAATAGAATGAATGAAAGATAATTGAACTTGTTCTTAGAAAAGGAACAATCATGAATGATTATGAAGTGCCTAATTATTATTATTTTGAAAAGAAAAAGGTTGTGAGGTAGCCTACAAAAAGTGGAACAACATTATAGATTTTTTAGGACTATTTATTTTAGAACGAAACACAGGTCTAATTTTAATATTTTTAGTTTCCCTATGTTGCCTATTTTCAATAGGACTTCTAATTTTATTACACCCTCCGTGGACATCAACTTTAAGGTATTATTATTGAATAAAAAAATATGATTTTTCTCCAAAATTGACTGTGTTTGTGTTGTTTGGTGATCTTGTTAGTGGTTCTACATCTTCTAAGTCACCACTACACTCAATAATCATTAAGAGTAAGAATAATCATGTTAGTTCGTAGATTTGTGTTAACTCATTCTAAATGAGTGTTTCTTCTTATTATTGTTTTAGCACATTAAAATTTATAACTAATCTTCAAAAAGACATTTAGTCCCAACTTGAATAAATTTTAGTTTTTGCTGAAACACATGGGATAATGTAAAAAGGATGGGGGCTTTTTGATGTAGTTAAGCGTGTTATAATGGGTGATTCTAAGTAGTCAGGTACGGGTTTGCCACAACTAGATAATGATCTGTCTCAGACATATTACATAGATGGCCTGACAAATACATTTATAAACTAGTGAAATAGGTCCAGGTCCAAGATGAGATCTGCTCATGCCAGACCAAAAATAATAGCTCAAAAAATGCCATAACTTTTGATTTGATTGTTGGAATCGTTGCTTTGGTCATCAAATCTTTAGATTTTACAAATCTCACCTTAGGGCCCTAGTTTTTATAGTTTCTGTGATTTTCCTTATTATTTTTGGATTTCATGCTTCTTTCCTTTATAATTTTGTTTTTTATTTTGTTTCCTGGTTGAGGTAGGGTTTTTGACCTATTTAAGGCTTCGTCAACCTCCTAAAGAGAGGGGTTTAAGGATTGATATTATAGAAAAAATAAAACCTCTGAACTTGGAGCTCACATCTACAGCCCATTTCGCTCATTAAAATTCTCGTGTTCTTTTTTTGTTTGTCATTATCTTTAGCTTTTGCTTGTATCAATTGGTATCAAAGCCCAATGATCCTAGGTTTATTTATTGTTGTGTGCTGCAATCTCATGGAAGAGAATTTATTTGTTGTTGTGTGTGCTAACAAACCATGTTGGGAAAAGATTGTGGAGCAGAGTGTGGCCAAGAAGGGGATGGGGAGCTCCCCCATTGATAGAGGAACATCCAGAAGCTCGCTATCAAAGACATGTAAAGACAGATCACATAATTAACCTGTTGGCTAGAGGAGAGAGACTTGCGAGACCAGGGATAATGTGACCTGGGCTAAGAGAGTGATCATGGGTCCTTGGTTGGTATTGCAAATTACTAGTGTTAGTCTTTGAGAAACTATTTAAAATAAATTGTGATGCTTTTGGAGTAGGCATTAGGGAAGCTCTTAGCCGAGGTGGGCACCCCATCACCTTTTTCAGTGAGAAACTGTCCAACTCAAAGTACTATTCCACCTATGATATGGAGTTTTACACTATTGTTTTGACTTTAAAGCATTAGAGGCATTACCTTTTGCTAAAGGAGTTTATTTTAGTTACTGACCATGAAGCTCTGAAGTATATAAATGGGTAGCATAAGCTAAGTCGTCGACATGCGAAATGGGTGTTGATTTTGCAAGAGTTCACTTTTTCATTGAGGCACCAATCAAGCAATTTAAATAAGGTAGATGATGCTCTCAGTCGATGTGTGACTTTACCCATGTGCTAGGATTTGATACTTTTTATGATGTGTGACTTTACCCATGTGCTCGGATTTGATACTTTTTAAGCTGTATTCGGGGGATGCCTCATTTAGTCAGATTTATGTTGAGTTAACGAAGAGAGGTAAACAAGATAACTGTGTTTTTAAACGGTTATCTTTTTCATTGTTAGCAGGTTTGTGTTCTAGTTTGGTTTTTGCTAGAGCATATTATTCGTGAACAGCATTGTGAGGGGTATTTTGAATGGGATAGGACACTGACTCTAGTATCATTAGTGGCCTAAGTTACCAAGACAGGTTTCTAACTTTATCACGAGGTGTGTTGTTTGTCAAAGGTCCAAAGGGGCCTTATTGAATGTTGGGTTGTACACCCCGTTACTAGTTCCTGATGCTCCATGGCTAGATGTAAGCATGGATTTTGTATTAGGCTTAACTTTTACACAACGGGTTATGGATTCTATTTTTGTTGTTGACAGGTTCTCGAAAATTCTTATTTTATAGCTTACCGAAAGACCATGGATGCATCTTGGGTAGCCTAACTTTACTTCAATCAGGTGGTTTGTTTTTATGGCATTCCTAGGTTCATCACTTTAGATAGGAATGTCAAGTTCATGAGTAATTTTTGCAAGGGTTTGTGGGGAAGGATGAGAACTCAACTGAACTTTGGCAATGCTTATTACCCTTAGACAGATGGGTAGACAGAGGTAGTTAATAGTAGTCTCGGTAACTTACTACGAAGCTTGGTTGGAGATAAGCTAAAACAGTGAGATAAGACATTGTCATATGTGAAGTTTGCTTATAATAGATCTCGGAATCGGACCACCTAACTAAGTCCCTTTAAGATTGTCTATAGGTAGAATCCTTTCGGAGTACTGGAGTTAATTCACATACCTCGCATCACATACCTCGCATCGGACACATGAACATCCAATTTACTGACATGTTACTTGGCATTCATAAGTAGGTAAAGCAGACAATTAGTGACAACAATGTTATGTATAAGGCCCTAGGTGATACTCATCATAAGAGAGTGGTGTTTGAAGTTGGTGATTTGGTATGGGCAATCCTTACACGAGACAGGTTTCAGTGCGAGTATAACAAGCCTAAGGAAAGGAAGATAGGTCATTATGAGGTGTTGTAAACGATAAATGATAATGCCTACATGATTCGTCTCCCTCATCATCTGAAAACTTCTGATGTCTTCAATGTCCAGCACTTAACTTCTTATTCGAAGGAGAAACAAAACTTGAGGATGAATTCCCTTCAACCTAGGGAGAATAATGTAGTTGGACCTGCGATAACGGATGATTCTAAACAGTTAAGTGTAGATCTATCATAGCTAAATGAGGATCTACCCTAGATAAATTACACGGATGACTTAACAAATATATTTATGGATTAATGAGATAGATCTAAGCGCAAGAGGAGGTCTGGTTCTATCAAATCAGAATAACAGCTCAAAATGACTTTAAGTTTTGATTTTATTGTTGAATCTTTAGATTTTGAAAATATCACCTCAGGGCCTCAGTTTTAGCAGTTTTTGTGATTTCCTTGTTATTTTTGGATTTCATGCTTCTGTCCTTTGTAATTGTGGATTTTTCTTTTGTTTTTCAGTTGAGGTAGGGTTTCTAGCCTATTTAAGGCTTTGTAAAACTCTTAAAGATGACTTGAGGATTGTTATTCTAGATAAAATAAAACTTGCGAGCTTGGGATTCACATGTGCAACCCCTTTCGCTCATTAAAATTCCCATTTTTTTTTTTTTCCTTTGTTTAGCTTCCACCTGCATCACTTTTCTTACTTTTTCTTTTTTGGCCATCAATCAATAGTCCTGCAAAGAGGATAAGGACAGTTTGATTGGATCTGAAATGCTAGGAGGTTATTTTTACTGAAGAAAGAATGCAGAAATGATTTTTATATGTAACTTGCAGCATGGGCATCTGCTATTTGACTTTAAACTTCCTTTTCTAATCCTCTAGTATGAGTTCTGTGTAAGAGGTGGAAGTTCCTTTAAAGACGTAATTATTTAGTATAATTTATGGGTCAAAGTTGTTCACTAGTCTGACTAACTTCTTATATGATTTTCCTTTTTTTCTCAACTTTCTTTATCAGTTTTATGCGGGTATCTCTTTAAGAATTAGAGATTCTTTAACAAACCTCCCTCATTCTTATTTCCGTACATGTTAGTGCTACCTTGGAAAGGCCAAATCGAATGGCCTGGCCTGCATCATTGTAACTTGACATCTCAGGAAAGTTTGGTGATTGCGTTTGTTGTCTAGCTACTCATTTTTATAACATGCATGACATTGCAGCTTTGCTAAGCATTGTTGAATTTGTTACCCTAATGCTATCATGGCTTCTTATTGCAGATCCGCAAGCTGCTAGTTGGTCAGATTGTATAATGGAATGGCGTGGCGCATGCATGATGGATGGTTGGTATTGTTGTTTGGTGCCTGGATAATTTATGTCCAATATTTGAAGACCAAGAGATTATCATCAATTCTTTGGTTGTTTATTTTAAATTTCCTGTTTGCGAAATACCTTTATTTCTCAAATTAGTGAAGCTGGTGCCTGTTTTAGTGCTTGTATCCTCCTAGACACCTCAAGGCACTCGTTTTCAACAATAAATAAAATATCAAGTGTTTTGATCAAGTCATACCGTTATAATCCTTCTCCCTCGGTGTGCCAAACCTTCCTGTTCCCTAGTGTAACTTTTACCTGTTGAGCATCTGTTGTGCGGCGGCCCTTCCACTTGATGGAACTAGAGGAGCGCGGCAAGGAAAAAACATGAACCTATCAAGTTCATGCTTGAATCCTATCTGGGTGCCTTTATATGTCTGTTCAATTCTTACGGAGACTTTTGAGATAGGATTTTAGGCGCCCTCTGAGAAGATTTGAATCCTTGCCAACGATTGCCGTTTTCTTTGGCATGAAAAGATTATTGTAATTGTTGCAATGGGGGGTGAGCGAGTTAGGACTAATTCAGATAAGAGGAGTAAAGGCAAATCTTTCGTTGAAAAAAGCTGACAACGATTTTGCACAGTATGAAGTGCTTGTTTCGCATTCCAGTTGTGGGTGTTTCTGAAAACCTTTTATAGAGCAATTTGAACAATGAAATGCCATGGTTGGATTCAGCATTTACACTTGTGTTCTTACCAGTTCATTAAATAGGCTACATTCTTATAAATTCAGCCTATTAAATATTTGTATTTTCAATTTCCATCAATTGGGTATAATTTCTTGATTTATAGTAATTCTGGAACAATTATTTCCGAAACTTCTTGACCAATTTTCAGATTTCATACGAATTCTTCGAAGAAATTGCAAATCAACTTTCTCGATTGAATTATTCCCTGTACAACTCAATCAAGTAGAAATATTAATAGCCTAGATATTAATATTCATCGTCCAACAAAGAAGATCCAGGTATCAACAAACTTGGATGGGAACCATTCTTTTCTAAAATGTATTATCCAAATTTAGTTTTGATACAATAAAAATCTACGATTATTCAGCACAAATACAATTTCAATTCTTTCTATAAATAAACCTCTATGGATTACTAGAACAATAAATTTTCAATCTCCTTCAACAGATGACCATGGTGTCCAACATTTAATTTATTATTTTAAGGTAAGACAAAACCAATCCATAACACTATCCAAAGCTTAGTAAATATTATTTTTGTTGTTGATGAAAATGACCCAGACGATGTTGTCTCCTTGAAAGAAAAACAAAAGGAGCTGGAAGAAGATAAATTCTTATAAAAAAAAACAACTTTTATGTATTACCAAACCGAGCATAAAGACAAGTGCAACCTCTTCATTTAGGTTAATAACTATGATAAAGGTAATAACGACATACGGGAACATGCCAAACATAACATGAAATGGCAGCGCTACACCTTTACGTCGGCTCCATGAATGTGTTCTTCTTATTGTTGTCCCTCTAGAATTGGTTCTGAAGATAGTTCACTCCCTTCTCGTCCAATTGGAAGGCCTTGGCGAGAACATCAGGATTACACCAGGGTGGATCTGATCCAAAGACTGCATTTGCCATTGTAATTCCACCAGGGTTCTGACTGTTTTAACATGCAAAGGCAACTGCGTTGGTTTTCCCACATTGAGTTCAAAGTAAGTGTCGGGTGGGTTTAGGCCGCCATACGGTGCATAATCAATGCGAATAAAGGATATGCCGAGAGTGTTGAGTCCTGGAATTTGATCGACATTGAGTAGATCGAGTGACATTTGATCCAACTGGATTGGAAGTGTTTCGTGGAATGTTGAGTCCAGAAAAGAAGAAATCCTTTTCAGTGACAAGCTTTGGGTCCTTGCAGAATTTCCCATTCACGAACACAGCATGAGGAAGAGATTTCATTAAGAAATCAGTAAAAGAGAATGAAAGTATCAGAACATAAAGGCATATTAAGTATATCCAGGGTGCACGACATTTCCCTCCAGGACTAATATTGCTATAATTCTGGTGTGATTTTTCATGGGACTGTTAAGGAATAAAAGAAACACTGTAAAGGCATAGACAACCATCGGTTTCATTGATGGATACGCAGAAGTCCTGAAGAGGACTAGGGTCAGAGGCAAAGGCAAGTGAAGAGGCCAAAGCCAAGAGGAGAAAAACTGGTACGAAGTCGAGTCCTTTCATTAGATCTGCACTGAATATTCAGTAAAAACATTCTATTTTTTGGTCATGGTTGCTTTAACAATAATTGTTCCATTAGAATCAAATAATGTCAAGTTAAAATGTTTCTTCCTAATTTCATAACTCATCTTAAATAATTGTCTCTAACTCAATATATTATTTTTTATAGTTAGGATATAATAAATATCATTAATAAATTGATGCCTACTATCTTCTATTTGAATTATAATCATACTTTTTTTTTTCATGAAAAACTTTGAATAGTCTACAGATGTTTCATCAAACTCCATGAACTTATTTTTATTTTCATAAATATGATTGTTCGCTCGGTGGCTTTTTACTCCTTTTCTATTATAAAATTGCTATTTTATTTAGCCTCTTTGGTTAGGTAACAGTAATCCTTAATATAATGACCTATTTTTTAACAATTATAACTTAATTTCTTATTTGTCAACCTGAGTCTCACTATTGCTTGAGGATCCGGCAATCCATTTGGCTCCATCTGGTCTACTGGATGATATGTTAAGGCTGTCTTGACTTACTTTTCCAAATCTGTCTCTTTCTTCTCTTCCTCTGCCTTGCCCACGACCTATGTAACCTTGGCTGGATCCTGGGATATCATGTTTCTGAGAAAACTTTGAAAATAGTGCTTAATAACTTGTGTATCCTTTGTTCTCACTAACTCTGTCTTCAAGGGCGTGTAGGTTCCCATGGTTAACTCAATGGTCACATTCCTCTATTGAGATTACTATAGAGTTGAACCTTTTAGGCATTGATCTCAGGATATTTTCTACCACGCATATTTCTTTCATCCAAAAAATGATGAATCATTGTTAATGCTTGTTGATCCTTTTTTCATGTCTTTTGCACAGCTTCCTTTTGAGCAGGTGTCATCACAACTCCTTCTACAGATTCATCAAAACCTGTTTTAAATATCTCTCATGCATGTTAAGCTCCTATCCAAGCTTTTGCATGGACACTACATATTTTAAAATTGCCTTTTGTCAAATGAGGACCTTGAAGGGAGGAATTTGAGTTGGCCATTACATACAATCAAATTTAGCACAAATAATCAAATCTGGTTGCTCTATACCACTTGTAGAAAGAAGATATAAGTGTTGAACTTATTCTGGATAGTAATGGCAAAGTGCAAAACTAAAGAACAAAAAGAAATTGAAATGAAGGTATACTTTATTAAAAAAAAATTCTCTGAATTTGTCTCTGCTATCCTCTGTTTTTTTATAACTCTAATTACAAGTCTATTTATCGATTTAAAGTGCTAGAAAAATAAAAGATTGAACTAAACAAGAAATTTATTCTAACTAGGAAATTAATTACGCCAACTTAATCTCAAAGTTCAGATGCCTCTGAATGCAAGAAATCTTAGTTTAACTTTATTTTCAACGAATTGCTTTTGAAGATAGTTCACAACACTCTTGTCCACTTGGAAGGCCTTGGTGAGAACATCAGGATTAATTGGCTGTTGAGATCCAAAGACTGTGTTTGCAATGGTAATTAATTACACCAGGAGGAAAAACAAAAACATCTTCAAGATTTAAGACTTTCGTAATCGAGTGATTCTCCGGGTTGGCTGTGACAAAACCAACAGAAAAACTTCCTTCCAGGAAGATAAGGATTTCCGTGGCACCATATAGTGCATAATCAATGCGAACCAAAGATATGCCAAGAGTACTGTTAAGTCCTGGAATTTGAACAACGTTGACAGGATTAGAAAGTTATTAACAATCTTCAGAAGCAATTATGGTGGGACAATAATTAGAAGAGTGCCTATACAAGCTTGTAATTGGCACTCTTGTCCTCTTC